TCACTACCACTACCTTCACAGACAGTGCTGGAAATAAATGGTTCGGCTTTCATTCAATATCTCTAAAAAATTATATCTTCAGTGTATGTGATGGGAAAAATAGAACGTTTCCGCAGTATTTGTGGACTATTAATTGGCAACACAAAATAGTTGACTACAAAAAAATAGAACCATACTATTGTGAGTTCAAGTAACCCTGTTTCTTGTTTAATAACCTATGAACCATATATAACTATCATTTTATACATTGGGAATTCAAAGGTTCTATGCATTTCCATCATCCACATATATCTTAAACTATGATCATGCTTTTTTACTGCTCTCACTACTGTTATTAAATTCCTGTACTGCTCTATTTCACATCCGCAAATTTTCACAGCTGTCCGTCGAGTTTATGCTTTTGATTATGCCTGCCACATTATATATTAATTCGCCGACCTATTCCGTAACAATGACAGATGCCACACAGTTGCACAACGTAGTCCAAAAGTTCCAGCTATCTAGTTACCTTTTAGCATAATACTTGTGTTTTTACTACTATTCACGGTACATTTTTCAACGCAAAACATCGTTTAGATGACGGTGTCCTTCCAAAGAACGAACGTGTGCGAGCTTAACATGGAAAAACAGGTAGAACAAGGTTCCTTGCCAGGTAACGTGGTGAATTTGATAATATTAAACAACCTGTCTGTAGGGTGATTACATTCAATACCTCAAGCTCGTTATGGTAAACGTGGCAGTAATCCGTTTTAACGTTGTCTCGCTTGTTCGTTTCCTACCTCCTTGATTCCTATGAATAATTCCAAATACGCTTACTTTGCCATGGAGACATTTTACTAACCAAAATGTCCTGCATTTATGACACTGACACGGCTTCGGACAGCCAACTGACCTGTATTTTGAAAACTTGAATGTTATTTGTTAGAACATGTACAATTCCTAATATTACACCCAGTGACTCTTTTACAGTTAAAATCCATATATTCCGATTGCTTCGTTTCTCATTTTTTCATTTATTGAAATCTATCTCTTATTTATTGCGACTGGTTATTTTCAGTTTTCATGTGTTTGAAGGTCTCTATTGAAGTAGGAATCCAATTAAATGGGAGACGTACTAATAGTACTTCAACCTACTTTTACATCTGTGTGAGTGTGATTAAAAATCTTTCCATGTGTACACTTAAAATAGCAACAACATCCACTTTGAATGTGCGGAAACTATTCCTCATGCTTTTACTCAGGCATATTCTGTTCCTTTTTCGGTTCTGAATAAAATTTCTATCCTCTGTTTCACTTCCAACTCTGGTTTACCTTGTATGCAACTCTATTTAAATGGTTTTCTCTTTGACTATTTCGTTTTGTCTGAAATTACGATCAAATACTGTTTTGTTAATACATTAAACCCCACTGATCAGAATTTAGAACTTTGTTTCTTTGGGTATGCGCCGAAGCACTATTCTTAAGGAAAAGGTATGTAGATCACTAGCGTAGGTGATCTGTGTCAGATGATTGGTTGCCTACACGAGTTAGACAGGAATGGTGTGACCAACAACTAACTTCGAAGTCAAACCTCGCGGCAACACCTAACATGAATTACCCTTTCGTCGTATTAAGGTACTATGGCTGCTCTGAGGATCGAATAACACAAAGGACGTGATTACAAAAGTATATCAGTAAAAGTGGGTACCAGATTGCGACCACCACCGGATGGGTCAGTCAATGACAGACGATTGATGGATGCGCATCGGTTGTCCTTGAACTTGACAAGGACCGATAAACTGTTTGACATTTATTGACTCGACTACCGAATGATCTGGCTAGGGCCCAGTGATATCTCACTGACCCTTCAGGTATAATCCTTGATTTAATTTTCCTTAAACTGAATGGAGAAATTCATGATCGGTTAGGTAGTCACGGAGTAATAACTATAAAGACCCCCTAAATGCTTTTCCTATTATCAGCTAGTTTCATCGTTCCTACGTGTTTTTTATATCTTCGTCCCTACACATAAGCAACGATAATTCGTTGTTAACAGACAAAAATCTTCGTTAAAAGCAGGGACTTTTTATTGTATTTATAGTCAACTGAACCTCCTTTATGAATCTCCATTTGGACTCAATTTGCTTTAGAATAATCATAAGATTAGGACTAGATATATTTTATGTGAGGCACCTATATGTAAGTAAAGAACTTCTTAAGTACTCATCTGTCTCTATTCCTTTTAAAACCATTAACTTTTGAGGGCGTTTATAGATTTTAAAGTTTAGGGTGACATAATATTCTATGATCAGCCTCTAAAAATATTCGAAACTATTTTCAGGTTTCGACTAAGAAATAATCTGTAAAACCTATGCATCATGTCCGCTTACCTGAGGAAAGATACTACTCTCTTGGAACACGTTCGTAAAGAAGATACATGGAGTAAAAGACAAACCCCAACCAGCTTCTCTAGAAACTATAAACTTGCAACGTCTCCAAAACAAAATGTGAGAACAGCGTCATCATGATATAGCATATTATCTTAGTAGATTGACTGTTGGTTTCAGTAACAATTTACAAATATTAGGGGGACTATTGAAGCCAGAACTCAAATGAACGAGCCGAAAAATCCAAACCAACGTTTCCATGGACGGCATTCTTAGAATACGAAGCTTTTTATCTAAATCACCTTCTACAGGGCTTTCTTAAAGAAGACTCAACATTTATATAAGTTCTGCTACTACTGAGGGTGATTGTTCTCATCTTGCCATTTATTCACGGAAGGGACACCACAAGCAACATAAATTTTCACCACCAAGAGAGATCACCTACCATCCAGAAATAGAATTCAAAGAACAAACATTGAACTAAATCTATCAGGAAGGATTGAATTTTGACATCCTAATAACAACAGACGCAAGAATTTCAAACAGTTGGATATGCCAGCTTGACAGAACAATCTAAAGCGCGTGGGCTGGGAAGTTCATTCTCAACATGATGTGAATGCTGCTTAGGATTTCTTACTGCATATAATTTTATGTGCTACAATGCAGTCTGTTATGAGACCGGTTACTAAAAAATACACACAACCTACAATCATCAAGAATCGTAATCTTTGCTTGCCAGGTCGCAAAAGAAACTACTGAGCGGAATGCCAACGAACTAGCAACAACAAGCAATTCAAACAAGCAAGGAACCGATTCACAAAGGGAATAAGGGAAGAAAGGCTTCAGTATCTGACAAAGCTTTTCGATAAATTTGTCTCCAGTCTGAAAAGCTTATTCCGTAGTTCAGCCTGTTTTTGACAACCCTAAACTGGAGTTCTACAACTGTTAGGTACTAATGGCCCAACAAACAAGAAAGGTGGCTCCGCCAAACTTACGGCAGAACAGTTCTTTCGGACATTTCGACCGTTTCATACTAAATATACCGACTGCAGCTACACCTTCAACTCAATAGTATTCGGAATTTAACCTGAGAGCTTCTCCGTGTATCAGAAACTGTAGTACCCAAACACGGAATTTTCTCTTGATTTGGGTGTGGTCCATTCTGCTATGCTGAAGGAAGCAGTTCCAATCTTGGCGAAACTGATTAGTGTGTTCTGACGTCCACTAGGTCGAGGCACGTCACTAGGAAATTGGAAGATGGCCCACATTACACCAATTTTCAGAAGAGCTCGACTCACAGAACCTTCAAGCCACCGACTGGTAGCACTCCTCTCAACACCCTCACAAATTACGTTGTCGATGATACGCAACGATCTACGTGACTACTTGTCATTCACAAAGTTCTCTCCCCAACGGCACGATTTTAGGAAAGGTTATTCTTGTATAAACTCGCTGACCGCAATAGACAGATGGATAACGGTCTTTGATGGCAAAAGTAAGGTTGACGTCATGTACCTTGAATTCTCAGAAGTCTTTCATAGAATCAATCATATATGTCCTATGAATAAGCACAAACGGTTGGGTATCACATTACCCTTAGTTGATTGGCTTACTGAATATCTATCCAATCGACAATGTAAGGTCAGGGTTAACTTCATTTTACGTTCCCAGGCTGCGAGATGTCTTGTTGGAATCCCCCAGGGTTCAGTGCTAAGACTTCTTTTCTTGATTTATTCCGCAGCAGGTATCATCAGATTTATTACTTTTTTTCGATGTTGTAAAACTCTGGAGAGGTGTTTGCAGCCAAAATTATAAGCTGGTACTTAGGGAGGATCTGAGACGACCTCATAGTTAGGCGGACAACAACGGACTTATCTTTAACACTTCAGTGTATAAAGTACCCCGTATAAGACGTGTTACAGACTACAAGTGCGACTTAGGAAACTTCCCTCTAGAAGTATCTGAAGTTGGAAAAGACCTAGAAGTGTTGGTACCCTACGATTTGAAGTCTTATGCAGTATCAAAAATGTCTTCCAAGAAAAACTTGCACTGGTAACATTGAAGCGCATTTTCAATCAGTTCGATAGTTTTACTCATCATCATTTAGAGTACGGAAACACAGTGTTTCTCCCTGACACTCTGAAACGTATCCAATGACGAGCCACGAAATCAGTTTGGGGCCTCAAATTCAAGTCTTATGAGGAGCGCCTCCAATCATTGAATCTTTTCCTATTAGAGTACAGGTGTTTGAAGATTACAATTTAGTGGCTTGTAGCATCCTAAACAGTTATGAGCATCCCCTTAAACACCTACTTGAGCTTAGTCCCAAAACAAACCTTAGGGGTAACACTCATAAACTGTAGACACAACACAGAGAAACTGACTGTAGGCACAGATTCTAATCCTCAAAATCAGTCAAATGTTGGAATTAGCCCGAGCGACTTTACTTTAAAAGAAAACTAGATTTATTCTTAAGGACTAAGGACAGTATCTCATTATAATTTACTAACTCTTTATTTCTATTTATTGTCAAATACACCTAGGTTTTTACCTGTAGGCATCGGTAATCCACTGCTACTGAATACGGAAGCCCGTAATCGGAAATTTCTATTCCGTTCATAATTATTTGAACCATTTGAAATTTTCGAAGGTCGGTGTGTTAGCGGGCTTTCCGGATGGCAGTCACATCGCGTGATAATGAGTAGTGTACAGTTGAAGAACGTGGACAAGGTACTTGAAGTGTCATACACTCCTATACACTCTAGAGGATGTAATTCTGGCTATGAGGAGCAAACGAAGGTAAGTTCGTGATATTTTGATCACGGGTTTTTGCCTAGGATTCGCGTCTCATATTATCATCAGCTAAGAAAAGACTGTCTAGTAAATCAAACTCAGAAACCGGAAGCTTCGACTCAGGTATTTTTAAAAAAATTAGTTTTTTTTACTAGTTAGCTATTCAATGTAACACAGATACTATTCTATTGTATTGAAACGTACCTATGGTTCTCTAAATGTCAGTAATTGTTTTGATAATAATTCCGTATTATAAACGTCTATTTCACTTGTCTACTTTGTTTTTCTTAAGTTTCGCCCAACCCAAAAATTTTTTGACTAGTATTCCAGCGTTTGGCACAATTTTCTCAGTTACGAGTCTCAATATATGTTGGATAGGATATATATATCCTACTTGTTATCAAAATCAACCATATAAAACGTTCCGCCAGTAGTTTTTGTCTTTTACATGCTGATTGAACCACATAGTGACATCTTTGCTCGTGAACTTTACCGGTTGCTTGAGAGTAACTAACTAATGATCAGAAGCAAAGTTAACTTGGCTGAAAATTGACACCAGCCATGGAAAAACGTTCATTTATCTGTTTTCGGACGCTAAAGATGTACAGACTACATACGATGCACTTGTTTTCGTTTCTTGGAAAATGCGGTAATGTTATTTTCATGTATAATAAAATCCGTTTTTATAAAAGGTTTAATAGGTAAAACTCTATTTTATGGACGACCTTTGAACGTATGTTTAAGTGGCTTTGAGAACATTAGCCAATCAGAAGATAGTTAGTATAAAGTAAAAATACATAAAAAACTGATGAATTACAATGGATATTCTTCTTTTACATGATTTAAGAACTTGATAAGGTTTGATAAAGGTTCAGAAGTTTTAAAATCATAATGCATGCGATATAGGAGCTCGTCTATATGGCTCCATAATAATCGTCCTCTGTAGGGTCTTAAAAAATACTTCAGCCGAGACCACATGCCTTCAATATTGTTTGTATGAACCCTCGTTGTTGGATCGACAAAATGACATTTGTGCACTACAACATGATGCGCAAAACCGAGTCTCGAGAGGCATCTATACGCTTTCCAATCATCGGTATAGATCGTGGTGCCAGGCTAAACGTACTCCTTGATGATTGGTATTGTTGTTGTTACCTTGCGGTTTCTCACTCTTTGAAAATGTTCCTTTTGAGTTGAACTATCGTAAAATCCAAGTACCTGTCAAGTATATTCACGGAAGTGCTACTTACTCAATCTTCCTTGATAAAACGTCCTTTGTTGTATTTTCGCTTTCTAACTACTGTCTCATCTATTTCCACTATCTTTCCAGCTCCTCCAAATGATTCATGTACTCGTGTCATTTTTATTTCGCATATATCACGGCAATATTCATACCACTGAACGACGGAAGTTTCCGTAACATCTGCAAAAGCCGCAGCTAATGTTACTGGAGACTTTATGATCCATTCGCAATAATTATCATGATTTGTCTTAGCCTGAGCCGTGACCGGGCAAAGAAAGTGCCAGTTCGAGCAGATTTTTTCTCCAACATATAGTACAACGAAATATAATGTCATCACGGTAGTCTGCACATCGTGCTGCAGTCATTTGATCGCCGCAGTCACAAACACAGGAACTTCTTAATAGTCCCATCTGTTGTGGTCGCTCAACAATCACCTCTTCTCTAAAATCTGCTGTAAAACGATCGAATGTGAGCATCTCGTATTGAACTTAGCGCCGTGACTTTGAAATCCCTCAGACGCCTCTGATTGGCTCGTCCATAAATTAGAGTCCTGCCATTGGGGTATACGTACTAATTTATTTTTCTCAAATGCTAGACGAAGTATTATTAAAAAGTGACCACGACTTCACCTTATCCTGCCATACGGTAATTAAGTTAGCATACTAAGCTACCATCCACGCATGTATGCAGTAATGTTTATGAAAATAATAAGAACAGCGTAAAGCTTGATATTACTTCGGGCTTTGGTTTGGTTATCTGATTTGTTTTTTCAAAAGTCAAATTAGTCTCGAAATGAAAATATGTGGGGGTTATACTCCTTGTTCACGTAGATATAGAAATAAGTGTTTTTCATCATCATTGTCACTATTCACGATTATCAATCTAACTTGGTATGGTCATTTGTAGCTGGTTGTGTTTACATATGCTTTGGAACAATCGTACCAGTTCAATTTTTTGTACTAGTATGGTATTAGGACGAGATTAAAATTACTGACGGATTTGTTTAGTTAATCGAAAAACAGCGTTTGTAAATGAATAATTTACAAGAAACAATATTAAAAAATTCAAACAGTTTCGACATAGCGAATCTATTAAAGTCTTCTAAAGGTTGCTCTGCTTGTGGATCTAGGAAACGACATACAAATCCGCCTATATAAACAAATCACTCGCTTTATCGAAGCCCTGTGAGAACCAAGGTCGGTTTTTAGGAGTTCCCATACTATTGTTTGTTAGGCTTTCGGATTTAGGGTTAGGATTGAGGGGTTCAAGTTTGGATTTTCATCATTGGCTGACATCAGCTATAATGCAAGACTGCTTTGTAGGCGCATGGCTATAAAAACCTTAAAAGGTACTATAATCAATTCGTCCATAAACTATAATGCTGATAGGTCAATGTTTATTTTTGGACCGAGATTGAAATTTTGGAATAGTATTTATTTGCTTACTATATTAAATATACTGAAGAGGAATCGAACATTTAATATGTTTAATAATATCACTTTTACTCCATTGTAGCGGAAATAGTTTTTCGTCACCATTTTAGATTTTCTGAGCACTATAGAAAAATATTTTTACTGCTTGTTATACGTGCTGACGCGATAGTCGCGTTCTTGGTTCTGATTAGTTCACCCCTATACTGTACTTTTGCCCAGTGTTTCACAATTTATAGCTCGAGAACTTACAGTCGATAACAACAGCAAAACTAAGTTAGGCGAAAATAGTGAATGGCCGTCATAAAGGTATTGGCTCATGAGATGTTTACAATCAGAATGAACATGAAAGACAAGTACATCTGTTCATATTGAAAGCTTATAAGTCATGATAGTCGTAGTCATTTTTTAAAACCGGAATCCACTGGTCAAATTGCTATGTGGTTATTTGACTATATGTATTCTAATCGTCTTCTTTTTGTGCTTAGCCACTTTTTTCACATTAAAATAAGCTACTATGTAAGATCATCAGCACTATCGATTTCCGACTTTCCTATCAGATGTTTATAAACAATCCTTGATCGATCAGTGCCTTTATTTGTTTTTTCATTTCCAAACTACTGAAATTTCTTACACTTAAAACTGATCGAATCACGTAATAAATGTTAGCAACCTTTTATTTATGAAGATGCATTTTTTAGACGTTGGGATTTTCAGTTTGCTGCATGCTGAAAACACTGTCCTTGTTTCTCATGTTTGGTTTTGTTGACACAAACTACTCATTTATCCCTAAAGAATCAGTTTCACCCATTTCCTCCACCTGGTATATTTATTTGTTTATTTAGTATACAACCTTTTCCTTCTACATCTTCATAATATTACCTGTTCATTTTGTGTGGGGAATTATTTCGAACCCCTGTTGTATCAGAATTCTCAAGTATAGTAAGTAAATGAAAATCATTTGTGTGGATTTTTAAGCGCGGAAATAATACAGCCTTTTAAGTAAATCCCACTTTTATTTAATTGACAAGTAACTAACCATATTTGAAATCCTAGCTTTTTTCACACCGTTCACTGCTTAAATACTCCGCGATCTCATGAGAAATGAAAAGGCTGTCATTTTTGTACACGTCATTAAACTGGCACGTCTCTTAGTTTCTCATAGGTCTACTTGTAACAACCAAGGTTTGTTTGGTAAATGTTTTCGACATAGCAAATTTAAGTTTTGGTCAATGAGTCATAGATGGCAATGGACCTAGCGCGACTATTTTGGTTCAAGTTGCTGCACTACACAGCACAGTCATTGCGATAAACCCAACATTAGAAATAATGTTCAAAAGCAACGAAAACTAAGAATGAGAAATATGAAGTGAAATCAAGCTTATATTTGAAAAAGAAATAAGAAATAAATTCATCTTTGCTACTGTAACTGACATTAGTTATGTCACAACATTAGCGTCACAACCATGTGTCTCATGTGTCTTACCACCACCTACCTCGACGAATGTTTGTTGATGTTGAAGAATATTGCCTGGGGGTGGCTAAACCAAGACCTATCGTCAGCCAAAGTAATTGACTATTGGTTTGAGTTATATTTGTGAATGCAGACTACCTGATTGACATCTACACGGTAACTTAAATCGGTGGTTGAGAAGTTTGTATGATGACTCAGAATCGTTCGGAATGTTCCAGATTCATACACTCACTGTTTTCTTGTGTTTTTTGATATCTAGTATCCATTTATACATATTCTTCCTCTCTGACTTTTAGAGCTGTATTTTTAATACTCTTATTATCATTGCTAATATAGTAATTCTGGTGCTTCGCTATTTATCTTGTCAATTCCACCTCGTCTTCTGATACGATATGGGAACTTAGGGGAACGAACATTTGTGCCAGGCTCTACGTTAATGACTGTCTGTTGACCACTCTCGTAGTATGTGGACTAGAAAGTGTACAATACTTGTTAAAAAGGGTTCAAATAACTGTGTCGCACATTTCTTGTTAGTGTATCTAATGTCTTTAAAAAGAGCTGTCCAACGTACGTCTGAGCTTTTGTATGCAAGTATTAGGTCTACAGTCAGTTAATTTGACCCTGAAATATGATTTGTAGGTCGTTCATTGTTTTGACATTTTCATATCTGTAATCTTGTTACGCTATTTTCTCATGAGGAAATGGTGAATCATCGAAAGCCATAAATTGACTTTTTAATTTGATAATTAGTCTTATTTTAGTACCATACATATACCCCAGTATAAAATTTACGCATTTTGTGCTTATTAATGGTATGAATTTTGACCTGTTTACTTTCAGTAATATATTTTAAAGCCGCTTTGAAATACTTACCATCCCATGATTTATTTTTGCTGAGCTTGGTTTTATATTGCTACTCATGTGCTGATGCTCTCCGTCCAGACAAGTTTCATTTGAGTATACACGCCGCTATATG